AGATTCATCTTCCTCTACAGCCCTGCGTACAACATGGGCTTCAATGCCCTCACCTACAGTGCGTGCTGCATTGGATGCGCGACCGCATTCCAAACTGACAACCATGTCGTCTAGCGTACCTCGTGGAGCTCTTCCCTTATCACGCGCGCGCGAAGGGTATCGCCATATTCCAGTGGTGGGGGCGCGCGGCAGGCTTCTTCAACCAGTTCGTCAACCCGATCGGTATCGCGAACGCGGGCTGGAAGTACTACATTTCCTACTGTGTTTTCCTGCTCTTCGAGGTCGCCTTCGTCTGGTTCCTCTTCCCTGAGACGTCGAACCGCACGCTGGAAGAGCTTGCATTCCGTGAGCATCCAGCACTGTCCTCTGCTTGGCCTGCAATACTGACTGTGTGCGCAGTGTTCGAGGGCGACAAGATCCGCCAGGAGCAGCAGAAGCGTATCGAGGAAGAAGTGCAAGAGAACAGAGTCCCCATCCCGGACACCGCGAGCGACAAGGAAAGCGCGCTTCATATGGAGCACAGCCAGCTCTGAGCAGCATGTCCCGCACATCCGGTCCCAAGAACTGCTTGACTTCTACATGTATCCATAGGTTAATGAATACGCTCAAGCCAATCCCATCTGAGAGATGGCGGGTATCTGCGTGCGACCACCGTATCCCGCGTCTCCAGGTCAGCAATGGAACGTGCATAGCCAATTACGTGGTTCACCAATTTCAGCCCCGGTCGTCCATGCTGTTTGTAAATTATCGTTTACAGCTGTCGTCGGCCATCCGCCCGCTCACTTCCGACCATGGTAAGTAATAGTGCTGCCCGAGCAATATGATCAGCATCTTATTTCGACGGCGAGCGCGCCCAAGATGAGAACGCGGTTGCCGCGTCGGGTATCGGTCGCACGTCTACGTGTGACATGTGGTTTGAAGGGGATCCCGCTCGTCACCTTCTCCCGGTTCCCGTGCTGATCCTTCTCATGAAGTAGCATCGCATAACAATCACTATCTACGTCTAGCCTGGAAGAGAGCTACATATAGCAAGGAGTGCAGATGCAGCGTTGCGGTGTCATTACATCAGACCTCGCGGACGACGTCTCACTCATGTCTCTCGAGCGTGCGTCTCGCATTGGCTCTCGTCAGCGGTGAGTGTAAGACTGCTCAAGCTCAAACACTGAACCCTTAGCATGTCCTGGAAACCTGACAAGCTCGCAGATCTTAGTCGTAGGAGCATTATTTCTGGTTCTGCGTGTTCGGCTTCTCGTGATTCCCTGCGTCACGTCTGTCGTTGTGCGGTAGTTTTCCCAGGTCGACGTCTTGCACCGCCGCGCCGAACCGTAGATGCCTTTGATTCCAGGCCTCTGTCAGGGGTGGTACAGCTGAGGAATGCCTATATAATGGGGTTTCCGCTGTCGGTGGGCGAACACGCCGTCCTGCCGTGGCACGCTTCGAGTCGGGTTGCTCTCTATGGCGCCGTCCGTCACTTCTCTCTTGGGCCTTCCCTCCCTGGACAGCACCGTTGGAGCGGTGTATACAGGCAATATTGTCGGTGTGATGTAAGTGTCCCCGGTCACTACTCTTAGATCGTCACGCCCCAACTGAGGATCTCGCAGGCTATACGGTGTAGAGATATATCAAGTCTACAAGTACTATACTTTGTACCCCAACGACCGCGCACTGCTGAAAGGCTTCGTGAGTAGTCAGGGGGCTCAGGCACCGTCTCAACAGTGTACCTCATGCTCGACCTTCAGGTCATTGCCATCCTGTGCGTCGTAGAATCCGAGCATTCCTCTCCGGTTTGCAACCTAACGCCAAGATCAAGGGCAATTGAGACATTCCACACCATTCTGTGGACCTTGGTTGGGTATGTACTGGGATGGTCTGATGGAGGATCAGCCGGAAGTCACATTGACGTACACTTCGATACCAGCTATCATGCTCTCATCACTGAAGCGTTTAATGTCGCTGGTTTGCTTGACCTGAATTGGTAAGCAAAGACAACCACGTACTACGGCCGGCACTTACAGTGACGACAAAATTACAGGGCTGTGCGAGTTCGTCCTGATGATTTGGGTCTCATCCGCGGGTAGCTAATAGTTGTCCCCAAGCTGACCGTTTTGGTCACGGTACGCTGTTCTTTTTTACGGTCTCAATCTACAACCTCACGGCCCAGCTAGGCGTTTACCGTCTTCATATCTCAAAGGTACGTCGATGCCCCGCATATGATGAATGCTCAGGGTAGATGCTAACATTTGGCTTTCACCATATATCCCGTATCCATGGAGCAGTTTCTATGCCTTCCGAGTATACGTCTGTACGTCACACATCCTCCTCGCACCGATTCTGAGGGCGCTCACACGATACAGTAAAACCTCAATATAAATGGCTTGTTATCCCTGCAGTGGGGCATTCCCGTCATTACTGCGTATGTGGTACAGCTGACGTTCTTCGAAGGTTGTGTCTATGGTGACAGGACTCTGTGCGTCTCAGCTTCTCTCCCTACATACGCTCGTACGTTCAAGCTCACCAAATCGACTAGCGTTTGCCATTGGTAAGTATCGCGAGAATCTCGTAGTACAAGAACATCTACCACACAGACGGCCCTTATTAGCTGCGGGGATTGTGAGGTAGGCGGTTTGTTCGATGCAGCTCGAGCTATGGCACATTAACGCATTCGGTCCCAGCTTCACAAAGCTTCGGTACTTCACGGATTTCAAGCAAGTCAGCGTAAGCCCTTCAAACATGGCATTGTATATGGACCCCTTATATTGGCATAGTGGATGATCTCAACCGCCTATGGGTTCGCGGTCGCGAGCGATATTCTCTTGACCGGCGCACTTGTCTATGTGCTTCGGCAAAGTCGCAGCGGCATCAAGAGGTGAGCATTAGCCCGTCGCATATAGGCATGATAGGATCTACCCAAACGTCGTGGTCTAGGAGGGACTCGGTGCTCGAGGTACTCGTGAAGTACACCATCAATACCGGTACGTAGTGATGATCTACCATATTCCCCCCTGCTCGGAAGAGGGTAACCTCTTGCTCTAGGCCTCCTTACCAGGTACGCTACACAGCATTCCTCCACGCTTCGCAGCCAATTGTACTCATACGGTTGTATGCCAGCGTATTCAGCGGACTCGTCTTCATCTTCGTCAGTGATGCCTCTCCTCTAACGACGCCGCTATTGCACCCTCTCACAACGTCCGCTTGCAGGCTATCATACTCCCGGATAACCTCGTGTACGCCGGAATCAGCATCGTAGGGGCGAAGCGTACGTCACCGTCCGCATAGTCCAGCGCATGCAAAGCTAAGCACCTCCGCAGTCTATGCCAACTCAGTCCTGGCAGTGTACGTCTGTCACCGCTTGTCGTGAAACGCTGCCGACGTTCCTCGCCCGCATGCTAGACTAAACTCGCGCAAATCGATCAACAATCGCTTCAGGGACGACTTTGCCTCCGTCAGCCTCGTAGAGCTCAGCAAGCCTGCGGCCATAGAGTCTATGGTCTTCAGAATCCCGCAGGTGTGTCAGCGCGCTGCGCAGTCTGAAATTCGTCCATCGTCACTGAAGCTCTCTCCCTGCGAAGCGTGCCATTTCTGTTCCCGAAGACACGAGCGCAGGCATGAGCTTTGCGACTCGGTCCGATGCCGAAGGTGGCGCACCGCAGTGAAGGATTGTTGACAGCAAGTTGTATATCTTGAGCGCTTGGGCACTTGGGTGCACTGGCCTTCGCTGGGCATGGGCCAGAGAAAGGGGAGTGTGCTGTCATACCTGGCGAACGTTTTGCTGCTGTACAATAGTTGAGGTCGCTTTGACCAGTTCGTGTCGTGAGTACAGTATCGAGAGACGCTTGAACAGAACTTTCACGACCACGGAGTGCATGAGTGTGTTCAAGCGACTTGCGCCAGGCGTGCATTGTGTTCTTACATTGCCTACCATGCTAAGCGGGCCTGGGGCAGGATATAAGGAGAGGACGAGCCCGACAGAGGTCTCAACTGTAAGACTTCCACTCACTCGAAACCGACGGCCCAACGCCACCGCCGCGCTACGAACACGCACGATGTCCAAGACCTACCATCAATCCCTCGGCCGAGAATATTACTCCATCGTCGTCGCCCAGTACAAGACCAAGGGCTTCGGGGCAGGCGACGAGGAGAACCTCGACTGGGCGCTCGGGGTTCTAGTCGACGAACCGAAGGTGGACGGCCGAGTGTATCATGCCATGCCCGGGCCACCACAACTCGAGTGGCACGGTAGCGGCGGGGACGTCGCCTGGACAGTCTCGACCGCAGACAAGGTGTCGTTCACAGAGTCTCCCCGGTGCCTCGGGGGCGTCCGTATCGGGACTATCACCAGGGACGAACTGACCGAGTTCGAGATGGTGCGCGCCGCTTACCTTCCTCATACTTGTCGAACAAGACCGCTGACGGCTTCCTTGTCTCCCCCAACCAGCGTGTCCTAGGCGTCGATCCGAGGTTGAAGTCCGGAGAGTGGACCTCCCGCGACTGGGTGACGGAGTGCATCCTCGTGATGCAGAACAGGGGATGGGTGCCCCTCGGCGTCGAGCATGGCCTGCTCCCGCTGCTGAGGCGCGCGAGCAGCCTGACGGAGCAGGACGGCCTCAGGCCTGCGTTGATCACGTTCCCAGGACTTTGAACCTGACGCGCTGCGGCGACGCAGCTTGCTTTCTTCGAGTGCATCCAAAATGGCGAGGCTTGGCTCGCCGACTCGGACTCGGACGGGTTTGGGTGCGGCTACGGTGCTGAGGTCTGAGAGTCAGTAGCCTGGTAGTACAGCTGCAATCAGATAGACCAGAGCACGCAGTCGAATTGAGTTCGACCGCCATCTCGACCATTTCTTACCGAGTGCTGCGATACAGTCATGGTCGCAATTGCGGTTGCAATTGAAACACGTCTGCCCCCGGGCGCGCTTTGCCGGTGCCGGCAGCGACAAGAGCAATTCCCGTGAGGAATTTGTGTCAAACGGCTATATATAAACTTAAATAGAATAGTCATCGTCCCTGGTAGTATATCGGTTAGTACACGCGCCTGTCATGTTACTGACCGCGCGAAAGCGGGGTTCGACTCCCCGCCAGGGAGCTAGCTCGGGTGCTCATTGCTTTTTCTTTCTTTCCTTTTCCTCCTACCCTCAGGACTTTCTCAACAAGACTGCGATACGCGTCTCGTAACTCCCGCTCTCTGTCGACAGCGCGTCGAGCGACGAGCGTAGCACTTTCGTGTCTACTGTATAGCATCGCAGCCGCTGTGGCTTGCGTGTGAGCGTACTGAGCTTCTACCCCGGTGCGCATTCGCCCTCGTTCTTGCCCGTCTGTGGTCAGAACAGTCGCCAGGAATATTATGTATCTTGTGCGTTGCGCAAGGGAAGCAAGCCCGCTGTGGTTATATCGGCAGCCACGATCGCATGCATCATGACCATTCCACGGCTGGTATACGTGTATACATTGTCAATCCAAGTCCACAGCGTCAGAGCGTGTCCGTTCAGAAGTGCTGCCATCGTCCTCCAGTCGAGATGGTACACCTATCCTAACATGCATCGCGCGCTCAGTCGTCGCGCTGCGCGAGGCCGACAGTCTTCTCGCCCTGGTTAACTATTCGGACACGATCTTGAGCCATGTTCTGAGTCGCAAAGTAGGTGGGGTAGAGTACTCACAGACGACGTAGACGGACTTGAGGAACACGTCTCCGAAGATGTCGAAGCCAAGGTCGCCACGGCTCTGAATACCACCGAACGTGTAGCCGTCGCCGGCGTCGCCGAATGCGATGTCCTTCGGGTTCACCTGTGCGACAGCGTTAGAAGCGTAAGATGCAACACGGAAAGCGGAGATAGAGAGGGCTTAGAGCTATAATTTGGAGACGAGACTTGCCTTGTAGAGCGTATCTCCGACGGCGAAGGATATGTCGGGGATGGTCGCGTTCGAAGGGAACTTGTATCCACCCTGCTGGTCGTCGAAGACGGCTCCCTCAATAGCGCCTGCGACGACATATGAGCACGTCGTCCCGAAGACATAAGGGTCAAGCGGAACAATTACCATAGATCGCGTCAACGACGTCATCGGCGACGAGGAGCAGCGTGGTGCCGGTGTCGAGGATGGTAGTGTTGCCCGAGCGCTCCTTGGTTTCACCGTTCAGCGACCAGCTGGTGGACTGCACCTGCCAGAATCCCTGCGAGCTGTCGACGAAGGCGCTGTCAGGTTGGTCTGTGGTGATGTCATGCGCGACGAGGACACGCACTTGTCGACGGAGGTGTAAGTGATGGGGTTGGGCGTCACAGAAGTGTCAATGAAGCCTGGGTGATAGTTTCAGCATCATACTCGCAATCAGTGCATGCCAGACCATGCACTCACCGAAGGAGTAGAAGCCAGCCTCTTCGCCGCGACCGAGTTTCACCGTGAATACGGGCTATGAGTGCTTACAGTCAGGAGGTCCTCTCGTCATTGACAGACACAGTACAGACCGGGTTGATGAGCTTCTTGTTGATCATATTCTCAACGGGAGTGGGGACAGGCTTCGGCTGAACGGTGTTGATCTCCGGCCAGGCGAGACCAAGGAGACCATCGTTCCCTCCGTCCTGGAGGAAGCTCGAGCTTAGCTTCTCAGCGAGCTCGATGGCCTGGCCCTCGATGGTGATATCCGCGACGGTCACGTTATCCGTGTAGACGTTGCCGGAAGCAGAGGAACCATCGCCATAGCTGATGTTCCAGGTGCCAGAAGCCTTCTTAGCAGTAGAAGACTTGGACGGGTCGTAGATGGTGTGACCCGAGTAGCGCGAGGCGTGCGCGAGTTCGGAGCTGCGGAGACCGCGCGAATGTTAGCCTGGGATGACGCGATTGCGGGACGGATACAGACCTCCAGACCCAGAGATCAGAGGAGCCGGTGTCGAAGTCCAGGTTGAGGGTGACGCCAGGGGTGCCAATCTTGACCGGCACAACATATTCGAGGCTAGCAACGAGGTGAGCATGTGTTCCTGCGACGTCATCGTACTCTGGAGGAGGTCCAAGGCACGTACTCTAATTAGGTTATGTTTTCAGGCAGACCCCAATGGCAGTGAGCGCTCCTGCGGACATGAGCCAGTGTGATAGATACGACCTACCGTTCTGGATGGACTCGGCGGGGACCTCATGCTCGGTCTCCTTGTTGTGCTTGCTCTTGACTTTGACGACGACGTTGTTGCGCTTGGCGAAGCCGGCGTTGCGGCCGGCCTCGAAGCCATAGCGGCGAGCAGCGCGGGCGTAGGCGGCCGCGAAGGATGGGCGTTTGCCGCCCTTGTAGATGTCGGGGCGAACGAGCTGGTGAAGCTTCATGGTCTGTGCGGCGGGGGTGGTCTTGGAGGAGGCGGATTTGGATGGAAAGCAACCCATCGTGAACGGTATATATATGGTCCTGGTGGTCGGGGTGACGTATGTGATATGACGAGCTGACAGAGCGTCTGCCAAGGTGGAATGGCAGTTCGAAGGGAACGTGACGAGTGGGACGGGTGTTTGACGGAGGGGCAGGGAGGTGGACGCTGGGTGAAGTGGAGAGCGGTCGAGAGGGAGACGCCACCGGGGCACGGGCGAGCGGACATCTGCCCTTATCACGCCTACATATGCAGGGCCACAGGCTCACTTCGACTTCTCCGCAGACATCCGCACAACTGCTTCCCCCTTCCGAACAGAACTTCCCCAGACCCCGACATTTCCAGCACCTCTCAGGCTTTCACGCATGGTAGCGCGCCGTCGAGGGAATCCATCTGTGGGTGTGTCTCGGAAGGTCAGGTGGTCAAGGACAGCAGCTCTTAGGATACATCCAGGCCTCAAGCTTCCTGCAAGGACGTTGTGGCGGAGTGCATAGCGTGCGCAGTCTGGGAGGGAGATCGTAGTGGCGATCATCTCAGTTCCAGTCACAAGCGCTCGATAAATATAGCTCCTCGCTTGTCTCTCTTCCTGCCTTTCTGGGAACGTTCCCAGCAGCGGTCCCGAGGCGCGTCTCTCTTGTCCTCCTCCGCCGTCACTGCTCGAGACACCGATATCTCTACGTCGATAACGCGACCAGCACGGACTATGACCCGGCTGGACCATAGCACCATAGCACTGTCGGGTGTCCTCATTGCAGACCCTGCAATTGATGCCCTTTATACTGACAATGCATATTCGATGGACAGGGACCTCGAAGTCCATACCGTGCCGTTTTCTCTGTTGACCGGTTCGTGACAACGTCTCCATGCTTTTGCTGGTACCCTCACTTTACAGAGCTCTGCTGATCGGAAGGACTGCAGATATTCCCGGAAGAGGATGGGGGCTTGATAGTACAACTCTGCTGACCGCTGCTATGAGCGCTCGAATGGGAGATTTATAGGAGATCTTGAGCGACGCCAACTATGGATGTTCTGCAATATCTGAAGACGCCCCCTCCTGAACCTCTTCGTGCCAGGTCATCCGACATGCCACAGCGAGCATTGCACGGGCGCCCTTACGGCTATGAGCCGTGTGCTCTCCTCTCCTGAGCTCAAGTGCTCCGGATAGCGCTGTGGACGTCTGTGGGTGCTTCCAAGACTCGCACAAACGCTCGCTCGGGAGTCGCGCCACATGCCCCAGCATTTGCGCAGACCTATTTGCGTGCCAGGGCGCTGAGTCCAATCTTTGAACGACGTCGAGCAGTGATCTCTCCACATGGTCCAGTCGTCGGCTTAGACAGCTGGGGAGGGTTATGTGTATTCCTTGAAAGAGCCATTGAGACGCCTACAGGACTACTCCCGTACGAGATGGGTCCGCTTCGGCTTCGTGGTCGTTGGCACTGGCGCCGGGCCCTGCAGTACTATTCGGCTTGTGCTCCAGGCGATGGTGGTTTTCGAGCGAGTTTCTTGGTGGTTGGACATTGTCCGATCACATACAGATCAGGCAAGTTTCTTGCCTAATCGAGAGGTCGTGCCGCCGGGCGGGCGTGATCGCGGCGATCGCGTCGGTGCGCACAGACCCTCCTGCCACGATGACGCAATGAAAAATGCAGATATATGTACAGCGGTGGCAGGTAGAACAGCGTTTTCCCTTTTACCTCCACTGCACTCGTCTTCAACATCGCAACATTCGCCGCTATGCCAGCAAATCACCCCAACGGAGAGATGAAAACGTACAAGTAGCCTAGCGGAAGTGAAAGAAGCAAGCTAGAGGGGATGGATAGGGCAGCATGCGTGGAGTGGATCGACGTGAGTATCCCATTCCTCGGCGGCAGGGACCTTCTGCGAGTTTCTCATGAAGCCACTGGTCTCCACTGGAAGGAGAAGGCGCAGGGACGACGGGAAGTAACCTTGGACATTGGGCCAGCGTCGCAGAGGCGCGCTTGATTATGAGTCGCGTCGCGTCGCGCTCTCGTGATTTGTGGCCACGTGGCGACCTTGAGGTTCAGATTTGCCTCTCGGGTGGCCGCGGTGTGGTCTTCTCAGGCAGCGTCCACTGGACCCCCGACGGTCCTCCATGCGTCTCCCTCGTGCTCTCTGCTCTTGAGATACCCTCTTGCCTCTTCGTCCTAGCTGTGATACCCACGATCTCTCATTTCGCACATTCATCTAGAGTCTGATGGGCAACAACCCTAGCCGCTCGTCTGGAGGCCCACAGTCGAGACCCCGACATCCCCAGGTACAAGAGCGGTCGTTCTCGAAGGGAGGATGGTCGACCCGTGGTCGGAGGAGAGGGTATGGAGAAGCGGATGACTTCTATGATGAAGATCCCATGAGGGGGGAGTATCCACAGCGTCAAGCCTACGGCGCGTCTCCGTACGCCGGCATGCCACAACAGGCTTTCTATGGTCGTGCGTGTCATCCATTCTCAGATGCAGCCCCTGTACCCAGACGACGCTCGTACATTCTATGCAGAACCCCAGTATATGCCTGGTCAACCTCCACTCTTTCCCCAGCCCCAGATGCAACCTGGAGCGAATCCGGTCATTCCTCCTGGGCCGATGACTGGCGCTATCCCTACGACAGGCAATCCGTTCCCCGCTCCACCGATGAACATGGCCATGGGTGGCCAAAGTCCAGCTGCGGCTCGCATGGGAATGCCTGAACCTGTGATCCCTGGACAAGCACAGAACCCTGAAGCACCCGT